TTTTTTTGGTTTTTTTCAAAATGAAAAGAAAAAATAAGCTAAAAAGTTGAACTCCGAAGAGCGGGGCAAAGGAGATTGAGAGATGAAACAAATGTTTATATAGTGATGAGATTTCTATTGATCTTCCAAAAATAACATTGCCATATTTTTGGCCATACCACATGTTCACTAAGTCCATGCTCGTCCTTCTAAGTCATCATTGTGCCGATAATTTAGCTTCTTCAATGCTTGTGATTGACATTTTCAATGTCAAAAAAGAACCACTAACTAAATCTCCAAAATCTTCCCAAAGGCGAGTTCTTTAAAGAACCGTTTGTTTTGTATATGAACCATGCGAATGTAATACGAATACTCAATCATTAGAAAACAGAGAATCAGCTTTCAGAGATTTTTTGCTAAGGAAAGAAAAAAGAAACCATTTTAGCAAATAGCAAGAGTGACCAAACCAAGCATGTCACAGTGATTAAAATCCCCCAGTTTCTTCCATTCACAAGAAGAGATGTTTATTCTTTCTTTCTTTTTCCTTCTCTAGTCCTAAAGTTTCAAAATATTGTTTCGCCGTGAAATCAGCAATGAATTATGCGATCCATATTTTTCACTAGAGATATAGAGCAAAGGTCCTTTACTCTTTGATCCTTGAAGGCTCTCCGACCGTGTTCTCCATTCGAGAGTACCATTCGCCTATGCGTGTGTTGTCCACCATATCTTTACCCGATCTAAGGTACCTTATTGGCCTCAGAACACCAAATACCGCAAGATCAGCCAAGTTTGGTTTCGTCCCACCTGCTAATTAGAAGCTACAATCATGGACCAATCAAGAAAAACGGGGACGATTGTGTCCTTACTAGATGTAGTATTATGATGTAAGTTGCACATACCAAGGTATGGACGCTCGTTCAAGGCATCAACCCATGTCTCAGCAGCATCGTAAAGAGCTGTACGTTCATCTGTTATATTATATTTTTTCTTCAGTTTCTTTGACACAAAGTACATTGCCGTTGCTCCTGCATACTTTGCCACTAATCTTTCTGTGAAACTGAAATTGCCTGCATATTATATCCAGGGCATAGTATTAGAAGGAATTAGACAAGACGTACAATCCTACAAAAGTTTTCTCTAGATGTTTATGATTATATAATACCGTAAAAAGGTACCCTAAGAACCCATACACATCTTCCAAAAGGATATAAATACCAAATGAGCATGTAAAGACGACAACAGAAAAAAAAAACCCAAACTCGACAGTAACCATAACAAGGGTGGTGATGTAATAAAAGGACCCCAAGAACGTATCAGATAATACCCATACATATCTTCCAAAAGAATATAAATACCACATGAGCATATAAAGCAAAAAGAAGAAGCAAACTCGACTCTAACAATACCATGGGTGGTGATGTAATCAAAGGATTCCAAAGCCTCTGAAGCATTCCTGTATATGTTTGGTGACAAAAGATGCACAAGGTGATTGTCCACCCACCTACAACAGGTAGATACATTATCAGCCTCAGGTACTGTGATGTCACAAAAGTCGAACTAGAACCAGTATCAGTCACTAAATGAAAAATGATCATACTTGCGCCATTTAGTCTCTTCATCATCTTCATGCTTTGAAATATCCGGGTGCATCCTTTGGAATAAGCTATCGATTATCGCTGCACCATACAACCAGAGATTACTCAACTAAGCAGGTACACATTTGGTTCTCTGGAAAGAAGAAATCATGGGACTAACCTGAAGAATCAACCAATTGTTCACCATCTACAGTAAGGATGGGCACCTTCTTATATTCAGACCATTTTATCTCTTTCTTACTCATAGGATTCACTTCAACAATCTTGTATGGGATCTTGTTGAAATCCAAGAACGCTACAAAAGACCATACCAGCAAAACAGAGACACGAGTTAAATCATCAATTTCTTGCTGAATCACAGACAATGAGGACCAACTAGACTCTGCCTTCATGTCAACTACGAGACAGTAAGATCAACCACCAGGCGTTAATGGCATAAAATTCAAATTACAACGCCACAACGAGATAAAGAGCGAATTCGTATTTCTGCCATATTCAAAGTTTCTCACATTTCCATTAAAATTCCAGGAATGTTCAACCCATAAGCATATCGTTCGGAACAGCAAGAACTGATGAGTTCTAAGAACATTAGTACAATCCATTTCCGGCGAAAGATTCGATCACGAAATCCGGCGAAATTCGACCAGATCCAAAATCACCAGATTAATCGGCGTGATGGGATTGATTACCTTTGACCTTGTTGCAGAAAGGGCAAGCCTCGTACTGGTAGAGAACAACTTCTTTAGGGTTAAACTTCTGGGCCATTTCCTTGGCGTGAACTTCCTGACCGAGAGACGAAGCCGCAGCGGCGGAGAAGAAGACAATCCCAGCAACGCCTCCGGCAAAAGACGGCGTTGGTAGAGCACCGAATCTCCGGGAGAGAGGATCGGAGGAAGAAATCGATGACATCATCGCTGTGGTCTGAGCGAGCCGGGAATGGACGGCGATGGAGGATGAGATTGTGCGTGCAGCGAGTCCGGTAACTCTCCTCATGGCTCGTGGGGAAGTGAAGATCAGATCGATTGAGATGAGATCTGGATCGTATTTGGTGTTTTCTTCTCTTTGAAGGCGTTTGTTTGTTTATTCAACGAATGGGTTTTTAGGGTTTAAGCGATGTCCACGACTACTTCAAGCCTTCTTTCAGATTACTCTTAAGGTCGGGTTTCCAGAAATCTCTTATTAAAAAAATAATTGCCTTTTTAAAAAAAAAGAAAATTTATAAAAATATTCACAAACTTTTATATATTTTGAAATTAGTCCCTGAAATTTTAAAACTCACTTTTTTAAAGACTAATTTTCTCGGTTACTCTGGTTATGGAATCTCTTAAACTTTGAAATGAAGTTTATGACTATATCATGTTGTCATTGTAGGATTTTCTTGATGGTTTTTTCAATTGATACTTTTGTCATTCCGATCTCTTGCCATGTTAAATTTCCAAGTTGGGATTGATCAAACTGCCCGTTTAGCTTGATAGTTTTGGAACTTAGATTTCGGGTTTTTTTTGCGCAAACGAGAAAAAGATTTTGGGTTCTAAGAAAAGTTCATAAATCACTTTTATGCTTCCATTTTGCTTGAAATGCAACTTTTTTTAAGCTTTGATGGTAATAAAAGTTTCAAAGAGTCAAAGAGACGCGTCACCATTTATTCCTTTGTGGTGAGACAAGCGAACGAATATGGGATATTGCTCTTTTATTAATTAGGATGCATGTTCTCAGTCACCTTTCACACATGCACCCATGGACGGACCAATGTAGAAGGATAGGGGGTCATAATTAAGACTCCGGTTAAATATTTTCATATTCTTAAAATTTGAAAGAATTAGTAGTCTAATTAGTAAATTTTGGCATATTGATTCCACTAAACTCAGACATGATAGTCGTCATATCCTTCGGTAACAAATTTTTTTCAATAATAAAAAAGAAAGTATTTTTTGATTCGCCACTAAGAACCGCTTTTTCAATGTGGCTCTCCTCATCGGCTCAGTAACTCTTCGTCGCCTAGTTGGTCAAGCAATCATCTAAAAAAGTGTGCTATAAGCGAAACGCAAGGCTCTTCACAACGGAATATCTATAACTCGAGAAGTAATCATCAAGAAGATGAACAGATACATCCGACACAATCCTAGCAAGGAGGAAAAGGAAAGAATTTATTGATCTAATGGAAATATGGCTCTCAAGATCATTACATGGTTACCATCGTTTCTTGTCTTACGCTTTCCACCTTGTTTTTAAGTTTTTTTTGGCAAGGTTTTAGTCTCTCAAAGCTTGTTAAGCTCTTAATTTTGTAACTTATCACAAAACCTCTCATTCCTTAAATAAATTTACCTACTTATAAAAAAAAAGGAGTTTGAAATATCCAAAACATATGCACATATGGACTTTATTTGTTACCCAAAAAAAAAATAAGAACAAGATAGCAAAATTTATTAACAAAAATCTTATATACATGTGTGGAGGTTGGATTTATTACAATAAAGAAACATCAACCTATAGATTAAGACAATAAAAGGAAACGATGGGAAGATCATAAGATAGGGTACCATAAGGAGTGAAAGTAAGATTGTTTTGAAACTAAAACAAGTAGAAGAATTAGCATAAGCAAAACTCCCCATGGGAAGTCTCCTTGTCCAAAAAGGGACCCAACCTGGTGTGTCCTGACGT